TTTGGATGAGAATGCACTGGAGACTTATGGTGTTTATGTAGCATCTGTTTTATATTTTACAAATATTCAGTTAAGATGCCCCAACCTGCTGTTCTCCAGATGTTTTGGACAAAGACTCCTATCCACTCCAAAGAGCACGGGCAGTGGTCAGGAATGATGGGAGTTGTAGTCTGACATCTAAAGAGCACCAGTTTGGGGGATGCATGAGTGGAGGCAAACAGATCATCACATCATATATCCCCTCCCCAAACATACTAACTTAAAACTTTCCAAAAGGCAAATCTTCTGTCTTTACACATACAAACCTCCATCAGCAAGAGAGGTCTCCCCAACTACAGCTGTGATGGATATCTCGTTGAAACAAAGATAGATTCCCAGGTATCTGCTAACTATCAGCTCCCATCTGGCAACTATTCTGGCCTATAAGACAGCAAATGGGCCGACAAAGGAATTGGCACTCAGAAGCCATGTAACAATATAGACTTGTCAAGTTGTAGTGCTATGCTAGATATGTTTGGCAGCCACTGATAGACTGTCAAAAGGTAAAAGTAAAGGACCCCTGACAGTTAATTCCAGGTGCGAACGACTCTGGGGTTGCAGCACTCATCTCTCTTTACTGGCCAAGGGAGCCTACGTTTGTCCGCAGACAGTTTTTCCGGGTCCTGTGGCCAGCATGACTAAGCCGCTTCTGGTGAAACCAGAGCAGTGCACGGAAACGCCGTTTACCTTCCCGCCAGAGTGGTACCTATTTATCTACATGCATTTTGACATGCTTTCGAACTGCTAGGTTGGGACCGAGCAACGGGAGCTCACCCTGTCGTGGGGATTCAAACTACCGACCTTCTGATTGGCAAGCCCTAGACTCAGTGGTTTAGACCACAGCACCTACTACACTAAACAGGTTTATGGACATGGTGGCATAGAGGAGGTTAATGTCTGACCTAGAGTTTGAGCTGCAGATAGAATGAGACAGGTTCACATCTAGGAGGTAAAACTACTGCATGCATTTTAGATAACCTGCAAGGTACTTTCCAACTACAGTGGAACCTCGGTTTACGTACCGTCCTCCTTACAAACACTTCAGGTTATGAGCTCCGCTAACCTGGAAGTAGGTCTCCTGGTTGCGAACTTTGCTCCGGGATGCGGTGGCAGCAGCGGGAGGTGCCATTAGCGAAAGTGCACCTCGGGTTAAGAACAGTTTCGGGTTAAGAACGGACCTCCGGAATGAATTAAGTTCGTAACCGGAGGTACCACTGTACACAAGTCTTTTATAGGAAGGGGCACTTCCAGTAGCAGTCAGGGTGTACATGTGTCTATGCTTTATAGAATACCATCTTTGTTTGCTAGTAAATATCTGTAATTATTAAGTTGTGCTGTTACCATCTCACTCTGGAGCTCAATTTCCCAAGACAGGTGTTTTCAATAACATTTCATTTCCATTAATGTGAGGACAAACATTAATGAATAATACAGATAACCAAGTGAAACTAAAGACATCCTATAAACAAGGGAGAGGGGTAGAGCGAGGGAAACGAAGGAGAAATCCTTGCCCAAGAGTCCATCCAAAATTGAATACACTGAATACAGAGAGAAATGCCTCTAGACAATCACGACAGCAGCAATATTTCATTTTAATTTATTTGAGAGAATGAGACCGCAGCCTGAAAAAATGGGACAATCACGTTTCCTTGTCAGACAACTCAATTTGAAGTTTTAGCTGCCTGTGGACGACCAATCAGAGCTCTGTCCCTGCCTGATCTGTCATTTCATAGTTACAAGGAAGGTTGAAAGAAGTGGGAGGAAAAACTCAGAAGACACAGAATCGAGATGAGAGATTAGGGAAAGGAAGAGCTTATCTGGAGCTTTCAGAAGTTTTTAAATTCTTCCCTTGCCATAATGGAAGAGAAATGGAGGGGGAAAGGTTAGAGAAACAAATATTGCAGTTTGTCTCGACATTTATTTTGCAGTGTTTCTGGCAGAATTCTTGCAATGTTCTCCCTCTGGGGTCATGAAGTTTCCTGCAACTACTATGCTCAGAGCTGTAGGAAATGTCAGGGGAGTATGAGCGTATGGAGGCCTCGCTCTTCTCAGCTATATTTTACATCAGAACGGAGAGCATTTTCCCACCTCTAGGGCTGCGTTCCTTCATGAGCAATGTTTCAAGGGCCACATGCCAGCGGTGGCGACAGAGGTAAAAGGGGGCTGATCAATTGATGTGAAATTGTACAATACCTTTTGATGATGGGGGACGCGGGTGGCGCTGTGGGTTAAACCACAGAGCCTAGCGCTTGCTGATCAGAAGTTTGGTGGTTCGAATCCCCACGACGGGGTGAGCTCCTATTGCTCGGTCCCTGCTCCTGCCAACCTAGCAGTTCAAAAGCACGTCAAAGTGCAAGTAGATAAATAGGTACCGCTCCGGCGGGAAGGTAAACGGTGTTTCCGTGCTCTGCTCTGGTTCGCCAGAAGCGGCTTAGTCATGCTGGCCACATGACCCGGAAGCTGTACGCCGGCTCCCTTGGCCAATAAAGTGAAATGAGTGCCGCAACCGCAGAGCTGGTCACGACTGGACCTAATGGTCAGGGGTCCCTTTACCTTTACCTTTTTGATGATGAGGAGGAGGATGATGATGGACATAAGAAAAGCCTGGATCATGCCAATGACTCTCTCCTCCCTGTGTGCCTCCCCACCCAAAAAATTGACTCAGGGGGTGTTGGATAATCCCTAGAATGGTCCATGGAAGGAGGAGAGGGGGGTTGTTTCATCTGCAATGCTGTAACAGATGGAACATTTGTAATAATGCAGTGCTGAACTCCACGCTTAGTAGCTAAAAGCCACACTCAGGGATCATCTCCAATGTTTTAGCTGAACATTATTTCCAGGCCTCAGTAGGTACCAAGGATGCTTGTGAGATACTCATGTCACTTCCTATAGTTGCTACTTTTTCTCTTGGGCACATCTTCTGCAGCATAACAGCACATCATCTCACACAATTCAGAAAGGAAAATAAAGCAGTAAAAAAAACCAAAACGTAACATAATATAGTGTTATGAGTTTGGAGAGGGGGGTAAACTGTATGGCTGAGCTCCCCTTCTAATTCCTGAATCCAGCAGGGATTAAATTGCTGGAATTCGATTCCTCGTCATCCTGGGGGGAAAGGGACAAGTAGGGTGCCTCAGAGTTCTCTCCTGGGCATATTGTTGCTCAACATCTTTATAAACAACTTGGATGAAGGAATTGAGGGGATGCTCACCAAATTTGCAGATGTCACCAAACTGATAGGGGTACAAGACAGAATCAGGATTCAAAATGACCTTAACAGATTGGAGAACTGGGTCCAAGCTAACAAAATGAAATTTAATAGGGGCAAATGTAAGGTTCTGCGCTTAGGCAGGAAGAACCAGATGCACCAGTATCTGTTGGGAGACACCTGGCTTACTAGTAGTACATGCAAAAGGGATCTAGGTGTCTTAATGGACTATACTGCATCAACCAAAGTATAGTGTCCAGATCAAGGTAAGTAATTCTGCCTCAGTCAGACCACACCTGGAATACTGTGTCCAGTTCTGTGGGCCACAATTTAAGAAGGATGTTGACAAGCTGGAACATGTGCAGAGGAGTGCAACCAAGATGTTCAAGGGTCTGGAAACTAGTCTTATGAGGAATGGTTGAAGTAGCTGGATATGCTTAGCCTGGAAAAGAGGAGACTGGGAGAAGACACGAGATTCAAATATTCAAGATGGAGCAAGCTTGTTTTCTCCTGATCTGGAGGATAGGACTCAAACCAATGGCTTCAGGTTGCAAGAAATGATTCTGACAAAACATCAGGAAGAACTTTCTGTTTGACAGTGGAACAGACTCCCTCAGAGGGTGGTGGACTCTCATTCCTTGGAGGTTTTTAAGTAGAGGTTGGATGGCCATGCTTAAGTTGAGGTTCCTGCATTGCAGGGGTTGGACTCGATGACCCCCGGGGTCATTTCCAACTCCACGAGTCTATGATTCTATGAATAGCAATGCCAACCTGGTCATGGCCCATTAAAGATGGGTCCTTAACGGAACAAAGGGAGTGGTTCTGTGCCAGAGGACAAATACATGGCATTCCCTCCCTCAGCTGCCTGTTAGTTAGAAAGACAAAATGCCATAGTTGGGAATTGAGTCATGTGAGCTAGAAGTGAGATTCAAAAGAGGCAGGCTGACAGAGAGCCTGGCCTGATTTCTGCTGGAATTCAAGGCTGTGGCTATGGGAGAAGCAGGACTGTCTTGCTGTGAACGCCTCCATCGTAGCCTCAGGCCGCACCTATGTGTAAACAAACCATATATCATAAAGACACCACAGTCTCTGCTCTGCCTCCTTCCGGAGGAAACACAAACCCTGGGAAAGTGATGAAACCCCTGGAATTTTGCACTGCTCAGGGATTGGGGTGATGTGGAACAGTATGATCTTCTGCACCCCTGGTGACTATATCCCCAAGCACCAAGTCCACCACTTTCCACGTCCACTTAGAAATACACTGCTGTTAACTGTTGCTCCTTCTAACACAGCCTTCCTCTCAATTTCTGCTTGGCAGTGGCCCGAACAGCTTTCGATACCAATCTCCCTGCAAGGGATGAGTCAGAATTACACAAATTATAGCATCTTGCCAGGTGAAAGAAAACTTCCCCTCCTCTTCACTCTTTGTGCGAAGCTGCAACAGCACCTGCCTTCGAGTTCTGGTGATGATGTACGCTGAAATTTCCCCCCAGTTTAATTATTTCCAGAAAGGAGAAGGGAAATACCCCCATAGACCAGAGCTTTTTTGAAACGATGCTGGGATCTTTCAATCGCTGAGCTTCTGCAGCTTCTAGAAAAACTAACCCCCCAAAATGAAGACTTAATGCCCCACAGTAAATCAGCAAATCTATTAATTTAAAGAATGAATAGAAAAGTCTTTTGTTAGTTTAACTCAGCAAGGAATTGCTTCTCCAGGCCAGCAGAAAAGAAAAGACGTGGGAGACTTCTGAATGGCTCTCCTGAGATATATATATATATATATATATATATATATATATATATATATATATATGAGCTGGAGGGGGCCTTGAACTCTGATTGGCACACTGGAGCTGAGAGGGTGGGACACTCTTCTCCCGCAAGCTGTTTCCTGACCTAAATCACCCCTTGAAGCTGCTTTGCAGTGGGGAAAAGGCTTCTGAATTGTAGCTGATTTTTCTCCCCACTTTAGGGGCTAATGGCAGCTCTCTCTTTTTTGGTGCTGTTGGTGCTAATTAAGATCAAGGAAACAGCGCCTGGAGAAAAAGCTGCAGGACTTCAGCTTCAAGAATGGCAAATGTTTAAAAAGGAAGCAAAAATAAATGGTGTGAACATTTTATCACGGATCTATCACATTGTATCTGTTAATAGGACTCATCCGTACTGTTGTTCAATGCGGAGAGTAAGCGTCCAGGACTTCCATTAATTGTCTTCATATTACATCGTCCTCCAAATTACTGTCCTTGGAGGTTTTTAAGCAGAGGTTTGCCATCTGTCATGGATGCTTTAGCTGAGATTCCTGCATTGCAGCGGGTTGGACTAGATGGTTTTCAGGATCCCATCCAACCCTACTATCACAATAATTCTGTGATTATCATGCCAGGGATACTCTGCAAAGGAGAGGATATGAGAAAATCAAGTTTGAGGGAGGGAAGAATGTGGGAAAGCAGTGATTTGAATGATAGTGTCATAAGGACAATGGAGAAATGGAAGTACTGAAAGTTTTTGATCCACATTAAACAACAGCCTGGATGAGCCCTTAGTCTCTGATCCCCCTTTTGCCTGGTCCAAAAATTTTACACATCACCTGGGGAGACAGGCAAACTAATGCCAGTGTACTGGAAGAAGCAAAGATCACCCGTGTCAAAGCAATGATTCTTCAACATCAACTTCATTGGACTGGTCATATTGTTTGGATGCTTATCATCTTCCAAAGCAACTACTCTATTCCAAACTTAAAAATGGGAAGTGTAATGCTGGTGGTCAACAATTTAGGTTCAAAACTCTCCCAAGGCAAATATTTTAAAAAATGTAGTATAAACACTGACAACTGGGAAACACTGGCCTGCGAGTGCTCCAGTTGGAGAACAGCCTTTACCAAAGGTGTCATGGGCTTTGAAGATGCTTGAACTCAAGATGAAAGGGAGAAACAGGCTAAGAAGAAGTCACGCTTGGCAAACCCTCACCATGATCAACTCCTGCAGGGAAACCTATGTCTCCACCGTGGAAGGATGTGTGGATCCAGAATTGGCCTCCACAGTCATAGCTAAAATATTGACTGATGCTAAAGAAAGAGGGGATTTGCCCTGCCAGACTTTAAACTTTATTATGAATCAGCAGCTTTCTGCTGGTTGAAGGATTGGTTACTTCTGGAAAATACTGATGTTTTGGACTTAGAAGGTTTCAATAATGTGTTTGGGTGGCATGCATATTTGTGGTATGACAAGGTTAAAGCTCACAAAATATTTAAAAACCATATTGTCAGGAAAGCATTGTTCAATGTCTGGATAAGATATAAAGACTTATTGGAGAATAAAACCCCAAGGTGGCTATCACCAATGGAGGCAAAGGCCCTAAAAAGTCCAATATGGAGGCCAAGTGGCCAAAATATTGGGAGATCTTGGAACAAGAAGGAGATAAATTCAAATTGCAGAGTTTTGAAAAATTAAAAGATAGAGTGCGAGACTGGTTGCATTACTACCAAATAAGAGAGGTCTATAATTTGGATAGAAAAATTGGCTTCCAGGTGGAAAAATCAAAGTTGGAAACAGAACTGCTAGATCCCAAAACTAAAACACTTTCAAGAATGTATAACTTGCTGCTAAAATGGAATACTCAGGATGAAACGGTAAAATCTGCTATGATTAAATGGGCACAGGATGTTGGACATAACATTATGTTTGCTGACTGGGAACGGTTATGGACCACAGGTACGAAGTTTACAGCATGTAATGCTTTAAAAGAGAATATAATGAAAATGGTGTACAGGTGGTACATGACCCCAGTCAAGCTTGCAAAAATCTACCACTTGCCCGATAATAAATGTTGGAAATGTAAGGAAACTGAAGGTACATTCTTTCACCTTTGGTGGACGTGCCCAAAGATCAAGGCCTTCTGGGAAAGGATATATAATGAGTTGAAAAAGGTATTTAAGTATACCTTTCTAAAGAAACCAGAGGCCTTTCTCTTGGGCATTGTTGGCCAATTGGTGCTAAAGAAAGACAGAACTTTCTTTATGTATGCAACAGCAGCAGCAAGGATACTCATCGCAAAGTATTGGAAGACACAAGATTTACCCACTCTGGAAGAATGGCAGATGAAGGTAATCGAATATATGGAACTGGCGGAGATGACTGGCAGAATCCGTGACCAGGGAGAAGAGTCGGTGGAAGAAGATTGGAAGAAATTTAAAGACTATCTACAGAAATACTATAAAATTAATGAATGTTAAATTGAGGTCTGATTGAAAATAACTGGTATTGGCAAAAGCCTTGTGATTAAGAGCATGGAATATTTGATCGATAAAGTTGTAATATTTATATATAAATAGATTAACTTTTTTGAGTTAAGATAAAGAAAGGAGGGTAAGGATTTGCTGAAAGGAGTTCTTAAATGGAAATACAAGCGGGAGATGTGGAGAAGTCAAAGAATTAGGTAATGATAAGAAGGTTAAATGAAAGTATAATACTTTTAAAATTTTTCTGTTTCTTTTTCTTTTTTTCTTTTTTTCTTTTTGTTATGGATATTGTTATCTCTGTTTGCTTTTGGTTATTGTTATTGTTGTTTTCTGTTTGTCGAATTTTTGTATTTTTGCATCTTTTGGAATTTTTTTTCTGTAAAACCAATAAATATTATAAAAAAAAAAAAAAAAGAATTGGCCTCCACAGTCACTTATGGACTCTCTGTTAAAAATGTGTCAGCGGTGAGAATGCTGAACTGGAGGGACCTGTGGTCTAACTTGAGACAAGGCAAATTCTATGGTTTCTTTAGAAATGCTGCACAGTTTTGACACTCGCAGGCTAGCATTTCCTTGGAAGTAAGGCCCACTGATTTCCGCTGAGCTTCAATTTGACTAGGTCCACTTAGGACTGCAGCCTTTGGCCCGGAGGAGCAGCAGCAGCAAGGCTCCACATTAAGCTTTCAGTGCTATTGTACCCACAGGTCCCCATACTTCCACGAGTGTGTATGATCACTGCAATGCTTGCTGTTACCAAACACCCACAGGAAACATGTTTGATCACTCAAGCAATTAAAAACAACCTGCCTGCCAGCCACCGCCCACCACAATCCATGCATGTGGGTAGCAAATGATGCTTGAAACATTATTTTATTTTTTAGTTTCTCTATCGCCCACATTCTGCAAGAATGAATCCACATCGAGTTTTGCAGGATGGGAGCCCAAATAGATGATTAATCTGTTTAGCGTTTACGCTGGTCTTCTCGTGCTTCCTTCCCTTGCGAGGATAAATCTGTAAACATGTCTCCTTAATCTTACAGGATTGAAATGTGCACATTTCCCCAAACTGAAAAGCCTAAGCCCAGGGATGCCCATTGGGAGCTTGGGGCAAAAATATTCGAAATAACATCAGCCATGAATTGGATGGATGGGAGATAGAGCAGAACATTGCCATCAGTCCTCCACCTCCCCTCCAGTCAAAAGAAGGGAGGGTTGATCAAGACCAGCTCAAGACATTTGGCAGCCTGAGACAAAGGACAGGAAGGCATCCCACCCCATTCTGTTTAGAAGCACTTTATTCATATTTCAACATTAGCATCTTCCACTGAACCAAGGGGCAACTGGGTATGTGGCACATACAACTCTGATCTTCAGCAAAGGGGAATGGCAGGGAAGGAGAGGACTGCTACCATTGCCTCCCAGCAGCAACTGCCACCTGAGGCAAATGCCTCATTTTGTTTAATGGAAGGGCCGGCTCTGGGATAAGGCAGAATCTGATTGAGGCCAATAGAGCCGTAGGTTAAAGATGCAGCTGCTCTTGGGTGACGATGGTGCATACTTCTTCCACTGGTCTCTTCACCTATATTCTTCTTTAGTTGCTTGCAGAAAGTAAGACTATATTTCTTTCCCACAGAGAAGAAGAGAGTGAGTGGACCAGCTGAGGTGCAGGACAGGAGGTTAAAAAAGCTGTATCATAGAAAACTGTCACATACAGAGTTGGACTACTGGTCCAGGAAGGTCAATATGACTGGAAAGAGATCTGCAGGGTAATGAACGGGAGTTTTTCTCCCAGTCCTACCTGGAGATGCCAGGGATTGAATCAGAGGCCTTCTGCATGGAAAAATACTCTTTCACTGAGTTACCTCCCCTCTCCCATCCTCTCACACTGTCTTAAGGTGTTTAAAGCTATGTATGCAGTCCCTGGGTATGTAGTCTCCTGCGGGACGCGGGTGGCACTGTGGTCTAAACCACTGAGCCTCTTGGACGGTTGGCAGTTCAAATCCCTGCAACAGGCTGAGCTCCTGTTGCTCTGTCCCAGCTCCTGCCTACCTAGCAGTTCAAAAGCATGCCAGTGCAAATAGATAAATAGGTACCACTGTGGCGGGAAGGTAAATGGAGTTTCTGTGCGCTCTGGTTTCCATCACGGTCTTCCGTTGCACCAGAAGTGGTTTAGTCATGCTGGCCACATGACCCGGAAAGCTGTCTGTGGACAAACGCTGGCTCCGTCGGCCTGAAAGCGAAATGAGCGCCACAATCCCATAGTCACGTTTGACTGGGCTCAACTGTTCAGAGGTCCATTATCTTTACTTTTTTTTACCTTTAGCCTCTTGCTACACAATCTGGCAACCTAACTAGGGGAGAGAGAGAGATTCATTTCCAAGATTTATATACTGCTTGGTTGTAGCAAACCCTCAAAGCTGTTTACAAAAAATAAAACAAAACAATAAAATGACCAGTAAAAAAAGAAGTTACAAATTACTGTTGAAAGCATTCAAAACTTATCAAAATAAAAAAAAAAATGCTAAAAAACAGATTTAAAGCACAGGCCAACATTCTACCTATCTGACTAAGGTAAAGGTAAAGGGACCCCTGACCATTAGGTCCAATCGTGACCGACTCTGGGGTTGTGGTGCTCATCTCGCTTTATTGGCCGAGGGAGCCGGCGTACAGCTTCTGGGTCATGTGGCCAGCATGACTAAGCCACTTCTGGCAAACCAGAGCAGCGCACGGAAACGCCGTTTACCTTCCCGCTGGAGCGGTACCTATTTATCTACTTGCACTTTGATGTGCTTTCGAAATGCTAGGTTGGCAGAAGCAGGGACCGAGCAACGGGAGCTCATCCCATCACGGGGATTCGAACCACTAGGACTTGATCGGCAAGTCCTAGGCTCTGTGGTTTAACCCACAGTGCCACCTGCATCCCTATCTGGCTAGGCTTGCCTAAACTAACAAACAAACAAAAGTTTTTAGCAGGCATGGAAAGAGTACAGTGAAGGTGTCTGTCTGATGTCAAGAGGCAGGGAGTTCCAAAGGCTGAATGCTGCCACACTGAAAGATTGATTTATTACAAATGCTGTGCAGGTATCATGCAGCACCTGTAGCAATGCCAGTATCGCAGTTTCAAAGCTGAGATAGCTCAATTGGTAGAGCATGAGACTCTTCATGTCAGGGTAATGGGTTCAAGCCGCACGTTGGACAACCTATTCCTGCATTGCAGGGGGTTGGACTAGATGACCCTCATGATCCTCTCTAATGCTACAATTCTATGATTCTATGGAAGAAGCTGAGTGGGCATTTACGGGGTAAAGCAATCTTGCAGGTAAACTGGTCCCAAGTGATTAAGGGTAACACCTTGAACCTAGTCTGGTAGCAAATCAGCAACCAGTGTAGTTCTTTGAGAAGACGTTTACTATGCTGATAGGGGTCTCACTCCTGTTAGCAATTGTGCTGCAGGATTCTGCACTAATAGATCCAAATCAGATGCAATAGATAGATGATTAGATAGATAGATGATAGATAGATAGATAGATAGATAGATAGATAGATAGATAGATGATAGATATAGATAGATAATGATGATGATGATGATTATCACTTATTATTTATCCCCCGCCCATCTGGCTGGGTTTCCCTGGGCGGCTCCCAACTGAATATTAAAAACACAATACAGCATTAAACATTAAAAACTTCCCTTAAAAGGGCTGCCTTCAGATGTGTTTTAAAAGTAAGATAGTTGCTTATTTCCTTGACCTCTGCTGGGAGGGCGTTCCACAGGGCAGGCGCCACTACCGAGAAGGCCCTCTGCCTGGTTCCCTATAACCTCACTTCTCACAGTGAGGGAACCGCCAGAAGGCCCTCGGTGCTGGACCTCAGTGTCCGGGCTGAACGATGCTGGTGGAGACGCTCCTTCAGGTATACAGTGGTATATAGGGATAAAGACACTTCAGGTTACACACTCCGCTAACCCAGAAATAGTACCTCAGGTTAAGAACTTTGCTTCAGGATGAGAACAGAAATCGTGCGGTGGTGGCACAGTGACAGCGGGAGGCCCCATTAGCTAAAGTGATACCTCAGGTTAAGAACTGTTTCAGGTTAAGAACGGACCTCCAGAACGAATTAAGTTCTTAACCCGAGATACCACTGTACAGGACCCAGGGCATTTAGGGCTTTAAAGGTCAGCACCAACACTTTGAATTGTGCTTGGAAACGTAGTGGGGGCCAATGTAGGTCTTTCAGGACCAGTGTTATATGGTCTTGGTGGCCACTCCCAGTCACCAGTCTAGCTGCCGCATTCTGGATTAATTGCAGTTTCTGAGTCACCTTCAAAGGTAGCCCCACATAGAGTGCATTGCAGTAGTCCAAGTGGGAGATAACTAGAGCATGCACCACTCTGGCGAGACAGTTCGTGGGCAGGTAGGGTCTCAGCCTGCGTACTAGATGGAGCTGGTAAATAGCTGCCCTGGACACAGAAAAGATAGATAGATAGATAGATAGATAGACCGATAGATAGATAGATATAGAGTGGGGTTTTTTCTAGAAAAAATAAAAATGTTTAGAGGTACTCTCATTTTACTACTCATATTGAAATACTGCCCCTCAATGAGGCAAAACTTAGATTCACAAAACGTTTAGCGGTATGTGTACCCCTGCATCCCTCCAGAAAAAAAAACACTCTATAGATAGATACGATAGATAGATGATAGATAGACAGACAGACAGATAGATAGGGCTAGATAAAGTCTGCAACAAGTAATACTTAAAAGAATCCTTCCTTCCTTCTCTAACCCATTCTGAAATCCCAGAAAAATTGGCTCTTTCAGTTAAAGGTGACCCCAGACAGTTTTAACCCACATGATGATTATTTGCTCAGCAGTTCACCAAAGGTCGGTCTGAATGTGGCGGCATTACAGAGGGTCATATTTTCCCACAGATGAACTGCTCCCAAACAATTCTCCAATTTATTGGGCAGAAATAAGCTCTCCATCAGTACCAAGCACATGGGCTCTTCTTCTTTCCTCCCCCCTTTTTTTCTTATTATGTTTTTCCCATTTTCCATCTGTGTTTTTTCTCGTCGGCGTTGCAAGATTAAAAAAAAACATACCACCACACTACTTTGAGTGATGGAATTCCCCTCACATTCTCCTTCAGTTGTATTTAACAGAAGCGATGAAGATCTTGGTTCACACAGAAATGTTTATCTTCATCTATATTGTTGACAGACTATCCAAATACATTTTTTTCTTTTTATGAGAGCAAACATAAAATACCTTAGGCCACAGGGAAAATACTGGTTGCTGTAAGATCAGTGTTTTCTCTCTCGCTCTCGTAGGAATATAGGAAGCATACCCTCAGCATCTCCAGGTACAGCTGGGAGGGACCCCTGCCTGAAAGTCTAGACAGCTGCTGCCAGCCAGTGTAGACAACACTGACCTATGTTCATCTCCCATAGGAACATAGGAAACTGCCTTTTGTCAGAAAGACAAGTGCCACACCACTTCTGTAGGAATGTTAAGGATAATAGAAAAGGATATATTGAATTAGTATCATCCATAATAATAATAATAATAATAATAATAATAATAACAATAATAATAATTTATTATTTGTACCCCGCCCATCTGGTTGGATTTCCCCAGCCACTCTGTGCGGCTTCCACAGAGACCAAAAATACACTAAAATGTCACACATTAAAAACTTCCCTGAGCAGGGCTGCCTTAAGATGTCTTCTGAATGTCAGGTAGTTGTTTATCGCTTTGACATCTGATGGGAGGGCGTTCCACAGGGCGGGTGCCACTACCGAGAAGGCCCTCTGCCTGGTTCCCTGTAGCTTTGCTTCTCACAATTGAGGGAACCACCAGAAGGCCCTTGGCGCTGGACCTCAGTGTCCGGGCAGAACGATGGGGGTGGAAACGCTCCTTCAGGTATACTGGGCCGAGGCCGTTTAAGGCTTTAAAGGTCAACACCAACACTTTGAATTGTGCTCGGAAACGTATTGGGAGCCAATGTAGGTCTTTCAAGACCGGTGTTATGTGGTCTTGGCGGCCGCTCCCAGTCACCAGTCTAGCTGCTGCATTCTGGATTAGTTGTAGTTTCCGGGTCACCTTCAAAGGTAGCCCCACGTAGAGCGCATTGCAGTAGTCCAAGAGGGAGATAACTAGAGCATGCACCACTCTGGCGAGACAGTCCATGGGCAGGTAGGGTCTCAGTCTGCGTACCAGGTGGAGTTGGTAGACAGCTGCCCTGGATACAGAATTGACCTGCGCCTCCATGGACAGCTGTGAGTCCATAATGACTCCCAGGCTGCGCACCTGGTCCTAGTGATGCAGCAGAGCAAATTCCCCTCAATATAGCTGGGAGTTTGCAGATTCGTTTGAATCTCTTAGTTAAAATTATTTCCTGGTGTCCCTCCTAAAAGAATACACAAGAGTCTTTCTGAGTAAAGTAACAAAAAGTTTACTCACATTTTAGTTCACGATATCATTCCTGAAAGCCAGGCTTTTCTTAGTACTTACACAATAAACTGTGAGTTCATCTCACAGGGAGACTGAACTCATGTGCTGCTGGCTGAGAGCCAGCAGACAGCAAAATTACATTAATACAACAAAATGGCTGGAGGAGAGCAGCACGGCAGCAAAATATAGAACAAGACAATAGTAGAAAGACAGAACTAGACACTGAGAAAATGGCTGCATGACTTGGCTCTTTTATGGGGTCAGCGAGAGCCATGCCCATCTCCCAGGTCACATGCTGGGGGAGGAAGCTCCAGACCAAAGGAACAGGACGTCCCCCTGAATGTGCCCATTCTGGGGAAATACGGAATGTTGCATTTGAGTGCACCAATGGATTGCAACTTCACCAAAAGAAATTCACCAAAAGAACACAGCACACACTTCATATTCTTGAGAAAACCCCATAATCCCTTTTAATATATATATATATATATATATATTCTTTGGTAGATCTACAGAAAGAAAAGCACGCCTTGTAAATAAATTGGAAAACGGCAAGGTTAGACACAGATGCACAAAGCATTAAAAAAAAATAACAATAAAGACTCTTTGCGGTCTGTTCCATTCCCTCTTTCTTCCCGCCCAGGGCAGCCCTACCCTCTGCCTGCCAGTGCATCGTGTGAGGCTGTGTCAACAGTCCAGGTTCCCGGCTTGATAACACAGTAAGCCTAGGTAATTTAAAAGAAAGATTTATTGCAAAAACAAACAGATAGCTCCGAACAGCTCCAACAAAGCCTCCAGCATCATTACTCAAGATGACCCTTCTGAAGACTGCTTCCAGCAGTGACAGAAGATACTGAACTTACGACACTTATGTCTCTTGTTTTGCTTCCTATCTGGCAGCCCTCCCATTCGCTGACTCTTCGGACTTAGTGGATCGGCTCCAATCTCTTCCTGTAACAAGAGGCTGTCTCTGAGTCTGTTTGCGCCTTTTTGTGCTTCCTGCGAGCTTTGGGTGTGCTCTAGCCTGCTCTCAGCTACTGCCTTATCAACCTGCCAGTCAAGGTCAGGAAGAGCCGAAGTCTGCAGCTGTCCTGTCCTCTCCCCTGTCTGACCAACATCTAAGCCTCTCTGTTCCTGGCTGCTTTCTGCAGCTGGCTGCAAACCTTGGCTTGGAGCTGGCTCATTCCTGATAGGCTGGGCCTTGGCAGTAGCAGCTTCTCCTTTTCCTCACCTGCTCTCCAGCAGCTGCTACCACCTGCCCAAAGGAGGAGGCCAGCAGCTGCAGCCAGGGAGAGGCCATGGAGAGGCAACAGGGTGCTCCATAGCAGCCACTGCTGCCACTGCTCAGGACAACCCCAGCTCATCCTCCTTGTGAGAAATTATAATGCTGCTTTTTCACATAAGCCATAATTCTGCAACTTGCTAGACAGCAGGGCAGCAGCTGAAGAAGGAGCAAAAAGGGTTTTCTTGTGTGTGTGTTTCTTTGTGGCTGATTAGCTGCTCTCCATGTGCAAAGGTCAGAGGGGGCAGGGTTTCTGTTGAGGCAGGTGATTAGCTGTGGAAGGAGCTTATCAGAGCTTGCGGCGCACGCAGTTTGATCCATTTTTTAGATTTAGGGGAGCTAGTCTCAAACGTTTGTTGGGGGAGACCTAGGTTTTTTTGGGGGGGAGTTATTTGTCCTGTCTTCACGCTTTTTATGATGGAGGACTGCTGTAGCCACCCCCAATGACACGTTCTCAAGATGGA